AATTCACTTAATTGAATTTTTCTCACCAGGTGTTCCTTGTGGCAGGATTTTGAAAATCCTGTGTGTTTTCTGTTTCTGTGGCATCTATTCAGTCACACAGATAGGCACAGAGGGCCCCGGAGGAAAGCAGCACCCTGCTCTTTGCATTTTAAAGGAAACTTTCTGCAGTGAAGAGAACATCCACGCCAGCAGAATCTACCACTCAGGGAGTTCGTTCCTGCTATGTGTGGCATGTGTATCTGTCCTTAAATGTATTCACAGAGATCAGAATGTTCTGCATTGTAGTATCTGTATTCAACAGATGGAGCATTTGCCTGTATCTGAGAGAAAAAAATCACAGTAACAGCAGTAGCGCGATGGAGGCCGATGCGAGTCCTCGGCTTTACATTTATATACTCACATGTTAAAGATCGCCCTGCCCTCCCCACCACGTCGGGCAATGTCCGTGGTTTTCACGGCTCAGGAGCCGAGATGGAAAAGGCAGAAGGCGAGCCCGGCACAGATGCGGGCTCTCGGGGACGCACGGAGGGCAGGGCATGCGGGGAAGGACCGGGCACCCCCCGGCGCCGCACCCCCCCCCGGGGCTCTGCGCGCCCGCTCCACCGCCGAGCTGCCTCCCGCCCCGGGTCCCCTGCGTGTTTTACTGGGTCTTGAGCTCTGGACGGTGTTCACGGAGACCGGCCTGTGCTGGTCGCTGAGGAAAGAGATCTATTGTAAAATTCAACCAGGAAAAGTACATCTTAAGGCAAATGTGGGAGCACGGACTCTCTCGAAACCACAGCTGTTGGCTTATGGCCAGCGCTCTTCAGAAGTGATAGGAAGCCTCGCCGTGTCGGGTAGCAGAAATTTTTGCGCATCTATGAAAAATTTCTATCAAGTTACTTTCCTTCCTTCCCGTTATCTTTCCCTCTCACACCCAGAGTTGTTTTGGGTTTTTTGTTTGTTTGGGGATTTTTGTTCGTTTGTTTGTTTTTTTCCTGCTACCCATGCCCGATGTCACACCCCTACCCATGCCCTGTGTTATATACCCCTGCCCGTGACCGCTGTCACACATCCCCTGCCCCTGCCCGGTGTCACACCCCTGCCCGTGACCGCTGTGCGGTTCTCTCCCCGTTTTTTTTCCCCTCGCTGAGGGGATGGCAAAACGGATGTCAGGCAAAGCGCATCAGCTGGCGACCGCACGGGGACGGCGGCGCTACGCGCGGTGCGCAGGTTTAGGCGCAGCGGTTTCCCGCCCCTGACCCAGCGCACAGCACGCGCCAGGGGTCCGAGCAACTGCAGCAACTTTTCTTTTTTAAAATAATTATAATAAAAATATTTCGGGGCTCCGGGGTAACCAGAGGATAGTTGCCTTTTCGGGAAAAGCCCGTTCCGACCGCCCCTCGCGGCGGTGGGTGCGGGGGTTCGCTGCGCGCCCCGCTGCGCGCCCCGCGGGGCTCCGCGTGCGTCAGGCGGTCACTGGCGTCAGCGCTGGC